AGGTCTAACATGGATGCAACTGCAGAAGCCTGAGACATTTTTGATTCTCCATGTGTCGCAGACAAGTGTCAGACATACTGATTTGCACAGGAAACCATAGAGCACACTCTCCGGGGACAGCCCTCATCTTGACGGGGCTGAATGATGGCTTAGAATGACAGGGGTAGGAACGATTATGTCTTGTTGTTCATCGACCCAGGCAGATCTTGTGCTAGGTTGCTGAGAACTGCCACATTAAAATAGCATTTGAAATTTAAATTCCTTATAAAACAGTGAGAAAATATGGGTCAGAGAGCTGCTAAGAGAGATGCTAGGGAAGGGGCTGTCAGTAAATCACCCTGAAGACTTAGAAGCTACTAAAAGAGTCTCAAGAAAGTGGTCATCATTAAAAAAAAAAATACAGAACATCATTTAAGAATTAATGTGTTGAGCTACTAATGGGGTCCAGTAGTCCCTATCTGTATTTTTATCTCCAAGTATGATTGTTACCTTTGAATTGAGGAAAGATTAGTTTTGTTGTTCTGATAGAGTTTCAGTATGGGACACACACAACTCTGGTGTGATGAACAAACTAATCAAAATATCGTGCTATTTCTATGTTGGGGTTTTTCTCTTGCAGACTGAGAATTATCCTGTACTTGACCTGAATCTTGGTCGTGAACCTTGAATTCATCTTCCAGCAGACATTCTGCACACTTCCACTCTTGGGTGGCCTCTGACTCTTGCATGGGTCCTCCTAAGGAAACCCTGCCCTTCTGCCCATTGGTCACCCTCTACCCTCTTCAGAGCTTGCTCCAGCTGTTTCCCCTTCTTGTCTCTCTGGCTTCAACCTCTGGCTTCTTCTTCTCAGCCTGTGAGATTACATGTCTAGGCAAAAGCCCCAGTGGGCTTCAGAGTCCGTTGGCTCCAGCTTTTCCTCCCGTGTCCCTCAGTACCAGCTTCTGAGAGGTGCAGCCCACACCAATGTCACCTTGCTCCCCACCATCGCCCTTTTGCTGAATGGATGTTGAAGCTATTTTCTCAGGGACCTCTGATGATTCCATAGCAGTTCTCAGTTCCTCCACTACCCTAGAGTAAGGTGGATGCTCATCTCTCTTGAGCGTAAGATCAGATGCACATATTCCCCCTGATCACCCACCTGAGAGGCAAATTGGACTTTTCTGCAGAAAAATTCAGGTATGAAAAGGGTGTGGAGCAGAAAAGGAATGCCCAGCCAGGAGTGAACAGGACAACCTGCCACCAACAGGCGAGTGGCACCTACGAAGGAGAGAAGCGAGAATGACCAAGTCCCTTAATAAAATAAGAGGTTAAGAAACCAGATGTGTCTTCTCCACTTCCTGTCCACATGGTGTCTGGAGTATTCTCATGCCAACACAGAGGGATCATTTTAAATAGGCATTGGTTTTTAGCCCAGCCTGGGCCGAAGTTGTCCCTTCAAGCCTAGCAAGATGTGCACAGAGCTGCTCTGAGCATGTCCACAGCTCTTCTAAGACATCCTCTCCTAGAAGGTGCCATGGAGGGAGTCTTGGACGTTGTGTGTAAGAGTGAGCCCGCCAGCGGACTCATGAAATGAGTTTTGTTTTATAAGTTCCAAGCTTGGCAGCAGAGTGGGTGGCTAATTTCCTGACTCACCTATTCAACTCATTTGTGGTCCTGACAAAATGCTCCTCCTTGCAGGACACACTGCCTGGCTTTATTTCCAAGCTGTTCCATTTCTTCACAGGGTAGATAGGAATGCGCGAAGTCAGAGCCTTTCCTTTTGTGTGGGATATCGTTTATGAAGTGGAGTTCAGTTCTTTCTTCAAAAGGAATTGTGGGAATGTCAGAGCAGTTTTGAACTAAACTGAATGTTTAATTAAAAGGCTTTCCCCCAGAAAGGCTTACAGCTCTCCTTGGAAAAAATGCCAGAGCCCATCCCCATAGGCCAGAGTGGACTTCATAACTTCATAACTGAGGTGGGGGAAAGGAACCCAGGAGCCTAAGAGACCTCCCCAGGAGTGGAGATGAACAGCAAGTCATTTTCAGATCTCAAAAATACAAATGAACAGCTATAGAGACTAAGTCAACCACAGAACTGCTGTGATAGAATTTTCTATTAAAGAATAACTTGACTATTATTTCACAAGATCCTAGCAAAAGGAAAAAGCTGTTAACTACACCCCCAATTGAAATCTCTTTGTTTTGGTTAGATGCAGGGTCTTGACTCTAACCTAGAAGGAGAAAGAGATTATTCTGCAGAAGTATTGCTACCAGCCACCACTACCACTGCAGAGGCTGAGGGTTGTGACAAATGTCAAGAGCTACACACTGGCAGAGTAGGTCTTTGCCATTTTACCTGGCATGATTAATAAGACTATTTCATTTGAGTAATGAAATTGATTCTATGCCCGGTTAAAAAAGATGAGGTCTAGCCAAACACCATGCCAATTCCTGATTTCTTTCTTCTTTTTCTTTCTTTTCCTTTTGATTCTTGCAGTTGTATCTGCTCTAAAAATAGATATTTTAAAAAATAAATGAATAAAATATTTATTTTTAATTGACAAATAAAAGTGACATATACTTATGATATGCAACATGATGCTTTGAAATATGGATTGTGGAGTAGCTAAATGAAGCTAATTAACGTGCATTATCGCACATGCTCACCATTCTTTTTGTAGTGAGAACACTTAAATGACACTCTCTTAGCAATTTTCAAGTGCATATTACATTGTTTTTAAACACAGACACCATATTTTACAGTAGATTGAAATCCAGAGTCATTCCTTCCTGTCTCTCAAGACCACTGATTCTCCATCCCAAATACCTTGGGAGTGTCTCTCCCATCGTGTCCTCACTGATATTACCTCCTGTTCATCCACTCATGAAGGGTTTACTGTGTAAGCCGTGCTGGGTTGTGGTAGTGACACACAGGGAGATGAGAACCAAGGACTAAGTAAAGTGCCAAGCACTGTGGCCACTGGTCTATCAGCACCAAGGAGCCAGATGCATAAGATGCACAGGCAGAGCATCCTATGCAGGAGTTTGGGGGCCTGAATACAGGCCTCCTCCTGTCCTGGGGCAGCACCTCTATTAATGGAACCACTGGGAAAGCCTCCAGCCACATGCCCTTTCCCCGGCCCTGCTGCCTGAGCTTTATTTCTGAATCAGACTGTGTCATCTCTTTTATTGAAACCCTTCTGTGATCCCCTCTTGTGGCAGGCCGGGGGAACTCCAAACTTCTTGATCCTACTTGTAAAACCTGCAAACTCAACTTGCCTTTCTTCCCGCCCCCCCCCCCCCACCCACAAGTAGCACTCTCTTACACCACCTACTTACTATCCTCCCAGTCCAGGAAATAGGAAAGAATGGAAATGAAAATCCCCACTCTGCCTTAAAATGTTACCATCAGTCTCGTTTTCAACCACTCTCTTTCAACCGTGGCAATCAATCCAATGGATCATTTTCTTAATGATTGCTGTTCACACTTTGCATAACTCTTTCAAATATCAAGGCACTGAATAGCTTTGATGAACACACATAATCAGTGTGTGATTATTTACTGTCCTGAAGTATTCGCAGAGGCTCGAGGCAAGTGCAAGGCATATAGTACCGTGCTGCAGGCCACCTGAAACAAGTTACGCTCTTAGGAATCTTGAGTTTGTGCTTCTAGATGATGCCATCTCAGGAGAGAGTAAGAGCTGGGGGCCGACACCCTCTCCTTCAGAGGAGTGGGCCACTGCAACAGTATTTATTCAATCATCTATTTTGCAATTTGTGCATTAAACAGTTGCAAGTTAGTTAAATTCTGTGTTGTAAAGGTGGGTCCCATCCCCAGGGATCTTCCAGTCCCTTCTATGTTAAGTTTATGATTTGATCCAAATACTAAGATCTTTTTTTTTTTTTTTTTTTTTTGGAAAACCACACAAATTTATTTACTATAAGAGTTATGGGACATGAGAACCTTTATAAGGAAATAAAGACCTGAAGAAACAGTTACATTTTTTTAAATAATAAGTTTGATGAGAATCCAATGGTCATAGATCTAATATTACTATTAGATCACACAGAGCAAAAGTGTGATCTAATAGTAATAAGCTGGGGAGGATTTAGCAAGGACTGTTTGCTCAGGTTCTTCCCAGTGACCTTTTGTCTCAGAGATAAGGATGCTCCTTTTCTCAGGTATAGGAGAACACCTCTCACCTGAGCATCTTATGACTTGCTTTGGGGAGATGAAAGAGGGAAGTCAGAGAGACCTTCCTGTTTCCGCAGCTTTCTCAAATTCCTTCAGTTTGAACTATTCAGTGTGCCAACATGACAAATTTTGAGACAACTTGTCTTGAGGCTATTAATACTGCTTCTCAGTTCCCATCTACAGGACGAGTGTGTTCTCATTCTTACAAATCCTGGAGGACCTGTTACTGTCCACCCGTGTTCTCCCTGCAAATGCTAGAATCTAAAAGGAATGGACCTCTTTGTTGCTGAGAAGTTAGGGGTTTCAGAAAGGGTGACTTGAAAGATTCAAAAAGAATGAATAAAGGGCTCTTTGGTATCAAGAAGAGTCTGTGTGTGTGTGTGTGTGTGTGTGTGTGTGTGTGTGTTTAAGGAATGGGTGACTGCTAGCAGGTGGATGACAAAGAAATTGCTGCCCTGTTAGAAGAAATAAAAATGCAATAGTAGCTAAGAAAGCATATTGTATGTTTGGAAAGCTGTGGAAGTTCAGCATGGCTTGAGGAAAGCAACCAAGGATGCAGAGAAGGGGTGCAGAGAGAGACATTGCTGGAGAGTAAGCAGGCCCAGATTACTAAGGAGCTCAAATTTGTCAGCACTGGGGAGCCCAGAGAAATCTCCATGCAAGGGGATGAGATGATCAGCCTTTTGGGGAATAAAGATCTGGTGCCCTATGGTGGATGGATTTGAGAAGACCAGTATTTAATGACTGCTGTGTAGAAGTGACCGCAACCTAGAAAGTTCCATACTCTGTCCAACTAACTCTGCATCTTTTTGTGTGTGTCTTCTAGTGACTGTGCTGGCCATTTTCCATGAACTGCATGTCGACCCAGACCTGTACACCCTCTTGTTTGGAGAGAGTGTGTTGAATGACGCAGTGGCCATAGTCCTTACATAGTAAGTACCAGAACTTGGTCTGTGTTTCTTTAACCACATAAAATATGTCCTCTTAGAGATCATTCCCCATGCCTTTAACATTATCTTTTCTGTATGTCATAGAGATACAGGCAATTTCTAGCTTTTAAGGAATTGTTATCACAGAAAATCTCCAATAATAGGCACAATTCATTAGGCACCTAATTTCTAATACTATTAATGGGTTTTGCATTTCCAGCTTATTACAAGAAACTACCCAGAGGGTAACAGATATTTTTTTTTCCCTCACTGCATATCTTTAGCTGATCCACTTAGGGTTCCTCAAATGCACATAAATGAGCTTTCTTCATTTCAAATCAATATCATTTTTTTTTCCTCATGCAAGTTACTTTCCAGAAAATACACTAATAGAAGCCTTTGTCTTTATGGGGAGGTGGGCAGATTGGAGCTAGAACTTGAGGGTCAGAACACTTTGATTTCTCAGGGCAAATGCAGGCTTTGAATCATCCCAGGACAAATGGAACTGAAGAAGCTTCAAGTAAGACCTAATGTGATGCCCCTTTGTGCTGGAGGATTCGCTGTTTGAGATGAGAACCAGTGTTCTTCCCACATGCACCACCTCTTTAGACACTTATCATTTATATTTAATAAATGCCACTTTGGTGGCTGTCAGTATGTCAGAGGTCTCTTCTTGGTTTTAGATTAAGAACAACATTTTGGGCAACTGTCAGATATCCCAACAGAAAGTAGCTATCTGATAATTAAATGTGGCAACAGGATTCAATTCTGAGCGTTAATTACTTCAAATGCGGTTGAAAATGTATTGTGATGCAACAAAGGATTTTAAAAGTCAGATCTCACAAGGGGAGGAAGAAAGAGCAGAACTACTCTTTTTTTTTCCCCCTGCCAGTTGACATTTCTTAAAGCTGCTGCCCTAAAGTCACCACTAAATTCAGCAACTTTCAAGTGAGTCTCCAAATACCTTTTACCTGGCCACAGAAGGAGGGGCCTTTCTCCCTGCCTTAAAGGAAAATATCAGCGAGTGCAAATTAAAAGCAAAAGTCATGGGCAGATTCACAAATGTTAAAAGGATGCTTTTAAGGAGACACCAAGAGCAATTAATTAGGACATCAGGAATCCCTGTCCAAGAAATACTAACATTAAAGCAACATTTGGAGTAAAAATTTTTAAAAATCTGCTGAGCCTTCAGTTTTACTTCCTGAGCTGCCAAGTTGTAAAAGGCCAAACGAAGCAACCCACTAAAGCGCAAATGAGCTCAGGAGAGAACCACACAGCTACAACTGTCCAGCCTTTGCGTGATGGACACTGCTATCCACAGTGGTTTCCCATTAAAAACACAGACACCAAGGACGAAGGTTGATTCCATGGTGCATAGGCCTGGGGGCATCTGAAACCAAGCACTTTCTGTCTCCTCAAGCCAGTACCTGGTTATTACTGGCAATGCCTCTCCTTCCCCTCTACCCATGTCTTAATAACGTCTTCACCATAAAATATGGTTGGCATGGTGGCAAGGTTCTTTTCTGATCAGGAGACATTGGCCACCCCCCAGCTTCCCAGTTTTGGTGATACTGATACCATGCACAGTGACCCACTGGGTTCTGATTAAAATAGAGGTCATGGTAGTTAAGAACATTTGGCTGCCCTAAGTCTCCAGTTCAGATCTACCAGCTCTCCTTTCACCTGGTGCATTTGACCTCACCAGCCCCTTCTTGAGCTGCACTGCGTACCCCCCATGCACCTGCAATGGCCTTCCTGGGTCTGCACTCTTTTCCTCCAGTGCTGCCTGGGGCTGACTACTTCCTCCCCCTGCACAACCTTCCCTGGGTCGTTCTTTTTACTCACTCTTTTGCTTCTTAAATGTGCTTTATAGCATGCACGGTGATTTCTTTATAATCTACTCCTATACAATTCCTTCTTGGAATGCCCCATCCCCACCTTCTCTCTTCCAACCATTTTCTAGCTCCCTTAGGAAGATCCTATGCTGATATCATTTAAAGAGTCTCCATTACTTTCAGACCAAAAGTTCAAACAGTTATCTCCCCACTTTTCTTTCACACTGATCCAAGCACAGCACGCCGACACAGCCCTCTGGGAGACAGTGACATGTCTTACCTTACAGTCCCTTCACCCTGCATTGCCGTCCCAGCCCCTGTCTCTACCCAGTGGTCTCTCAACTCTCATCCACTGTGTCTGCTCCTTCAGGAGCCAGCAGCCCCCAGGCTGAGGCCCGACCTCACTCCTGTGCCTACCTCTGTCAATCCCCTTCCAGCCAGCATTGCATGTATATTTGCCTTTCTAAATTGTAACCTTTTGAAAGCAAAGCATATGAACTTGAAGTGTGTGTTCAAAGAACAAACTAAAACTTGTATATGTGTCTTCCCTTTCTTACTTCTACTTTTGTGAGATTTTGAAACTTAAGAATAGTGATGGGGGCTGTGGATATGGCTCAGTGGTCAAGTGCTTGCCTACAATGCATAAGGCCCAGATTTGATCCATAGCAACACACACACACACACACACACACACACACACACACACACACACAGAATAGTGACAGCTATTCTTGTATCATAGAATACAAGTTATACATTTTGATGTGTCATTAGGAATACATTATCCCCCACACATTTTATCATGAGAGAGATATTCCAAGACCTTGATAAGAAACCTTGGATTTTTATTGTTTCCTTCCCTATATATACATCCATACCTATGTTAAAGTTTATAAATCAGGCACAGTGAGAAATTTAACAATAACTAGTAATAGAATAATTATAACCATATACTATAATAAAAGTTATTTAAAGCTTTTGAGTCCTTTATTTTAGAATTTCCCATTTATATTTTCAGACTTCAGTTGACCATGATTTAATGAAACTACAGAAATCAAAATTGTGGATGTGTAATAAAGACTACTGTAATAAAGAACCCAAATTATTGACAACTATGGCCCTCGGCAGTGTCTACAGAGCCCCTTTGTAATAGCCATGCACTTTCATTTACCTTCCCATCTTCTTCCAGATAATATTACTTAAGAACCATCCTCTTTGGTTATAATGTTTTTATATTTTTAATTGTCAGTGTTGTGACAATACTGTGCTACAGCACTTAGCCACAGACTATGCCGGCCTTAGACTGTGCTTGTCCAAGAAGCAACTAATCATAATACTGTTTCTTAGGCTAAATGCCCTCCAAACTTCAGACAAGTAACTTATAATTGAATTTCATGACCACAACTCTTACACATAGCACCAGGTGATAGATGCTACTTTCCTTCCTTCCTTCCTTCCTTCCTTCCTTCCTTCCTTCCTTCCTTCCTTCCTTTCTTTCTTTCTTTCTGGTTCAGTACTGGAGATTAGACCCAGGGCTCATACCTGCTAGGTGAGCTCTCTGCCACTGAGCTGTATCTCCAGCCTTTATACCATGTGTCCATAGTTGAAAATGATCCAGCATTACTTGTCCCCAAATAGAAGTAACTTTATTTAACACAAAAGTTCTGAAATTAGCTTGTCCCTGACCTATACAGTTATTTCAAGAATACAGGAACATCATGCTTAAACCTGATCCACACTGGCTCAGGAATGAGCCCCACATGATGGATTTGCATTTCCAAAGTTGTTTCATAGACCGTGAAGGGAGGCAGAAGATGTAGTGAAGACATCTGGAGGGGTGTGTGTTTGTGAATCCCGAACAAAGACATTGATTTCAGGTGCAGTGTGGCACAGTAGAAAGAAGCCTGAATAAGAAGCCACAAGATCTAGTGTCAGGTTTACCACTGATGAACTGTGCAGTTCTTACAGTTGACCAGAAACCATCCTAAACAGGGGTGAAGAAAAAGGGAGTCCATGTTGGCTGATTTAAATGAGCAGCAGAAATAGAAATGGCTGAGGAAAGGACTTAGAGAAATAAGCAGGACCCTCCTTCCTCAATTTCTCTGGTCACAAGATGGCTGCCAGCATTTGGCAGTGTGGTCTCTCTCTTCAAGAGCCTGGAGAGAGAATCTCTGTCCCACCATTCCCATCCTAAATCTTGGTACCTGGTAGATTCTGACGCAATTCCAGACCACCTTGGAGCTAATCACTTTGGCTAAAGGAGTGTACTGTATTCCCTGGCTCAGGCCTATGTTACATGTCCATGAGTTCCAGGGTGTGATTGGCTTGTTTTGGAGCTGAGACCAGGCAGGTGGTATTATTGTTCAGGTAATGTTGCCATCATAGAGGAAAAGTCGATGCTAGATAGAAACATAATAATAAAACCTACAGGACCATGCGGTGATTCTGTGTGGCCATAAACTGTCTGGACTTATTTCCTCATCTGGAAATGTAAGAATAGTTGTCTTATTACAAGATTTATAACAAAATTATCCTAAGCAACATAGAAAGCAATACAGTTGGAAAGGTTCTATATCTTTATCATCTATGTCTGTGCTACACAAACCGAATATACTTATATAATTTCCATCATCATTTGTATCAGCGTCTTTCACTGTACTTACACAGATCTCTCTGTTTTCATTAAAATGACTACAGATAGACCTGCTTCCAGTGAAGCATTTCTTCATAAATATGGCGTTTTATGATCCAAAGAATATAGAGAATAATCATTTTTACATGTGATTTTCCCCCATTAGGAATGAGACAGTTAAGACATTGTCTAAAGTTGATAAATCAAGAAATAGAAGTTGAAGTATATGACTTAAAGTTACAAAGTACTTACAACCAAAATTGATGCTGCTCCAGTCAATTCCAGGAGGGTAGCTTCCACACCTCTCAGAGTAGGAGATCCAGAGATGCCACACAGAGCTGATAAATCAGGAATGGAGCTATACTAATACTAAGACGTAGGGCAACCATCAGAAGAAATAAAAACATACATGGGTAACATCAGGTGCCTGGCTGTGTAGGATCATGATTTAGGCAAAGGGGATAAAGATAATTTTACTCTTTATTTTATATTCATCTGTGTTGTCTGAATGTTTTTAATGTGTTTGAATTATATAG